TGAATCCTTTAGGTTTCTTTTGTTCGGAATGTACTAATGCCGGTTTTTCACTGTGTGATTTATCGGTTTCGAGGTTCACAGTTCGAGTTTCAAATGCATTTTCCATGTTGCCAGAACCCGGGACCGCTGTCAGACTTTGGGACTTTGGCCAGAGCAGCTACAACAAACTTCAAATAGCTTTGGTTACCTCTCATTTCATTCCGGGGCACTCCTTTTCTCACTTTATCGCTGCCTGGGTGGGCAAACTATTTGGCTTTAAAGTTGTCAACTCATCTCGAATGGATTTTTTTGTCGGATGCAATAATAAGTGAAAACTTTTGGAAAGTATATTTGGATAAAACAAATTTGAAATTGGTTTAGATTCCATGAATGAAAGTAATCAATACGTATTAGCACCGATTGCCGGAAAAAGTTTTTACCAAAAGCCTGTTAGGGACTCAAAAGAAACTTAAATTTGTAGCATTTCAATATCTTGTCGACTGGGAATATATAATTGGACAATTGCCATCTTAGCTGACACCAAATCCTGATTGTCATCTCTCGGTTTGGCTTCCGCCTTCAACCGACAATCCCATACGCCATCAAAGGGACCCAAAATCGCTAATTAAGCCTCTGCGGTCGCCCAAGTCAGAGTGACAAGCCTCAATTGGCGTTTTGATTAAATATTGAATCCAAACTGACTGAGCCATATGGCTGACCACGTCTTTGGCAACTATCTCTGGTTCCCGCAAACAATTGCGACTAAATTCATTAGTGAGTCGTGCATAATTAAGGGACCGGCCGTGACACCTTGTGGTGCTCTAGACTCCGATTGACGAGCACAAGGAGTAGAAGGACCATGGCATGGAGTGAGATGATGCGGCGGCGGATGCCCAGAAATTGAACAGATAGGGTATAAAAAAGAAATCAATGTCCTTGCAGGAAGTGCCTTGGCAATTTGCAATCCTTTGTGCCATTACACAAAGCTTCCGTCGTCTGCTTCCTGACGATGGCTGAGATCGTGCCCCCTGGTCTTGGTTTTGATCCTAGTTGGGTCGCCTGCAGCCAAACACTTGCTGCTGCCGCAGCTGCTGCAATCAAAGCACGCCGGCACTGTTTCAAACCAGCAGAAGAAGGGGTATTAATCCTTCATTGGCAATCAGGAACCTGTGATGAACTCTCTGTGCCTTCCCCCCGAAACGGAAGTTGTAAAAACGCTAACGCCGCACAAAGCAAACATGGAGGAAATTTTCGGTGCCTAGCTCTTGGCTGCCGGCTTTCTTTCATCGCTCAGCTTCTCCCATCCACCTCCACTTCCACATCTATGTCCTTTTACCCATTCCCTCGCCTACAATCCCCTCATCCGCTAACCAGTGGCTTGGAACCGATTATAGTATTCCGTATTTGGATTCAGATTCAGCTCCGCCCGGGGGCATTCGTCAAACGACGCAGCAACCGAAGCAATTGTTTCGCCAAGTTTCCTTCTCGCTTTCGCTTTGTTCATTATGTACTTTCTGTTCTTTTCAGTTCTTTTATTTTGGTTCCGTTCCGTTTCGATTCGTTTGTCCTTTGCAAGGATCCAAAGAAAAGGAGGAGCATAAACACTGATTGATTGATTAGAGGCTTGAGCCGGGGCCTGAAAGGAGGCAAGGCGTCGGGAGGCAGAAGCCCAAGTGCTACTGCCACCGAGAGGGCACTATACCTAATGAGCAGCCCTCGAGCAAGTGTCGCATCAATCAAGGACGCATTTAATGCGTTATAAGTGTATATATACATATGTATTATATATTATAAATATATATAATGCCTGTTTCTGTGTGTGCGGATGATAGAAGCGATTTCTCTTGATTTGCGATTATTGTTTAGGTGTGTGCCCCGTCTGACAGCCGGCGATTAGCAAAGTGGATCACCGAAATGAATGATTTCCTCCTTGCACTGCCACAGCTGACTGAATCCTTTAAGCAGGCTTGTCCGGTCTTAAAGCCCAAAATCTGATGCTGAAGCGTCATTGGGGCCTATCGAAACACTTTCCCACAGCCACAATGCCAATTTCCCTCAGCTCAAATCTGTCTACGTGGCCAGCTCAAGTGTCGGCGATTGGCATCAATGCCACCAGAATCGATACTAACTGGACATCGAGCAGAGCTTACCTGCTGCTGGTTCAGCATTGTGGCTTGTCATGGCTTCCGCATTAGATTCTGGTCAATAACTATCCAAAACCTGTACACTCCAAATAAAAGAACTTTTGAAATGTGGTTGGGGTTCTTGACGTACAAGAAACCAATATCATACAAACTTAACAAAAAATTATTTCCTCAGTGCATGTTTTGTTGAAAAAATGTTCACAAAACTATTTCATGTCATTTCAGAAAATCATATCAATTGACTCAGCTCAGCCACTGGTTTCAACAGCCAGCATGATGACTATTCAGATGGGTTTGCTGACGTGTTCTCCTATCCGATTTCCAACATTTTTCTATCTATATTTTCCGGAGTGGGGACACTTTGTAACCCACTTCGCTTCTCTGTCAGTTGCCCCCCTGGCAAAGTGCTCATTATCAGCTGAAATGTTGTCAATTACGGATTTTCGTTTTGTTTTGTTTTGCTTTGACTTTCAATTGAATTTTCTCCTTGGAATTTGAATATCCGGCATTGTCCTTTGTCCTTGGCGTGGCGTTGCTATCGTCACGAATTGTTGCCCTGTCAAGAATCCGCTTCCAATTGACCCCAACCCCAGATTTCCATTAAGCTGGGCGCTCTTTTCAAAGCTGACTGCTTATGATGAGCTCGCCGCCCTCGGTCCCACGGTCCTTATTGGTAAACTGCAAACTTTGTACATAAAAAATTAATTTGATTATTTTCTCCCAAAGCTTAGATTTGCGTTAATGATGCCATAATCAACTGTTTTATAGCACTTTAAAAAAGTTAATCCAGCACATATACGTGCACTGGACACTTTATTAAGCTGAGAAGCTGTAACTTTTTTAATTACAGCGTTTTCATGACTGCTGGAACACTTTGCTTCCCACTCGAAAGCTGAGATTCATGCAAATTGTTAATCCATGTTCGTTATTATTTTGATCAACGGCTAAAAACAAGGAGCCATGAGTTAATAAAAGTCCCACTTTTATACGACAAGACAGTGGTGAAAAGGCATTTAAATACCTTTACTTTGCACTCTAATGAAACCAAACCATTGTACAACAAAGGGAGGTTGCGGGCAGATAGATTTCAATATGCTGAGAAATTTCAATTAAAATCATAATGAAATATTTGGAAATTTATGTTATCAAATTCGGTACGGACAACAAATTTTGTGAATTCCTAATGCGATCCAGGAAAGACAAAAGCCAAGAACAAAGGGCAGATGCGGCGGTATTGGTTGAACCGGATATCACCCCATGCCAGGCAACCGCAAAATTATTTCCCTTAGTGCCCCAAACAGAAAGGCTATTACTCAGGGCAGAGCAGGGAAGGTCCGGACTGTTTGTCGTTCATCCATTCAAACAATAACACTGAGACATTAAAGTTCAAAATGATGACCCGAACATAATCGACTTGCCTACAATAATATTTAAATTTAATTTAAATGCTCACATGAGGGCATTTAACAAAGTCCTTGGTCCGTATCCGTAGTCCTTAGTCCTTAGTCCATGGCAACGCCAGAAAACCCGCAAGCAAACAAATCGATAAGAATGTGTCTCAATCTGCCGGACAATTTGCAAAACGATACGGAAAGGTTGTTGGGCATGCAAAATGCAAAAGCAACAATTCGCAGCTCCTAGTCCTGTGTCTCAGCTCTGCTTCGTCCTTCGGCTTGTGTGGGTTAATGCGTTTGTTGTCTTTGCGGCGGAGGGACGCAGAACGAGTACAACGACTATAACTTTGAGTCCCATGCTTAAAAGCACAAAATGATTGGAAGCGCTCCGAGGGCCCCGGTCCAGGCTAATGGCATTTTATTGCCAACTCTCTAGCTCTGGCTCTGGTTTTGTGTATATTTTTCGGGGGATTGCCATTCAAAATTAGAAGCAACTAAGGCGAACCAAAGGAAACGAACGAAACCATTCTGCGCACTCGACCCTAAGACGACGAACGTTCAGCTGGGTGCAGTAAATGACATATAAGCCCGGCCAGGCTTAAGTGCTTAGGGCGCCTTGAGTTAATGCGATGATATGATATCATTATCAAAATATCCTGTCCTCTATCTGTGCTTGTATTTATAACTTTATCAGCATCTGCAGACTGCTGTGAGCCTCTGGGAGAGGGCCATTTGTAACTTTTGACCATTAGCTTCTGTTTTTGCGGTAAAATGGAAACAAAACAATTGCTGTTGCTGATTTTGTGGTCTAATTGATACAAGAAGCAGACGTCTTGTCCTGTCAGCCAAGTTACAAATGCAACCAGCAACTGACAATTGTTTTCAATGTTTCGGTCAGCTTCCACCTCTCCAACTCTTGTCTGGACTGTCGGACTGTGTCTCGCCCCCTCAGCCATCCAATCTATTTCAGTTGTCACTGACACAGTCCTGTATTTGGAAAACTGCCCTCAGTTGTCAATCAGTGGGCGGACGGACGGGCGGGCAAGCTGACAGACGGACTGCTCTGATGCATCTGTCTGGGCGTACGCTGCGTATGCTTAATTCCATTTAGCTTTGGCACACAAGCACTCTTACCGCTGTTTAGTTAAAGGTTTTTGTCTTTCAGCAAAGTTTTTAAGCACGTGGCTCTGTTGAAACTTGCAGACGCGTGTCATTGAAAGCCTTACAAAGTTGTCAAACGAACACAGGACACAATACTAAGAGATACAGATGCAGCTATAGCTGCAAAGACAAAGCAGACAGACAGAGTATAAATATACTGAAGAGGTTGCACAAAAAGCAGGAGCAACATTTCAATTTGCTGCTCCGAAACTTTGACAAGTAGCTGGCCAGTTATCAATAAGCCGGGGAGAAGCATCTCATATATGATTATATGCTGCTACAAACTTTTTCTCATGCACTGTAAACTCTCAACTCTTTTCAGCAACAGAGGCAACAAAAAAAGCACCAGCAGTAGGAGCAACGAGGATCCAGCAACACTGAACCAGATATTGCGACAACAAACAGAAATGGCCAGCAAACGGGACGGTTCCGAAGGAGGGACTCGGAGATACTGCGGAACTGGAGGAGCCCTGCATGCTACATTCAATATGCTGGCGTTGAGCTGGATTATAATCTCAGAGTTATTGCTCAGTGGTAAGTGCATAAAAGACCGTACATATATAAATGGCATATTGCAGGACTTCCGCTGCCAAAAAGCCTCCCCTACCACTCCATTTATCTTTCCACGTCGGCCAGTCTGTCATGTTAAACAAGTTGAATTTATTATGCCAACTGCGTGTGGCCTCGTGGTTAAAATTGATTATTTAATCTACCAAATAACTGTTTATATTATGCACTGAATCCCCGTCAGCCCGTCTGCCCACCAGGTCAAAACCATTTCGACCAACTCTTCCGCCAAGCGGCGGTGAAGTAGTCAATTTATTAAATGCCCCGAGAGCGCCTGAGCGCTTGCTTTTGATTAATATTGGTTTGTTCAATTAAAGTTGCCATAATTTGGCCGACCACAGGCCTGTCAGCTCACTCGTTTCCGTCGCTCCGCACGATCCCACAAATCGATGCAACTTTTCAAGTGACACGCGGGCCATTGCACCGTCAGTTCATTTAACGAACTCGATACACCACGTCCCATTCAAGGGTACATTTTATTATTCTACTTTATGAGACCAGATAAAGACAAACTGTAATGGAAGAATTTTCATTTTAAAACTCACCAGCCATTGAAAAGAGGTTTATAAGCATGATAAGAAAGATGGACGGCAAGCAATCGGAAATTTTTTAAGTTTTATGTGGCTCTAGCTAAGTAGTGTCCCTACAGACATTTAAAGCCATAAAAGCATTCGGTTTATTTTTATTAAAAGTATGAAAATTAATTTTATAAATTACCTTTTTTCAAATTAATTTACCGACACGTTTGTCTTTTAATCGAATTGGCCCACCACTCTTTTTAAGAATTAATACAAAATTGTATTTTATACGGATGAGTCTCGTTTAATGTTTATAATTGCGGAAACCCTCGCTGAATTCTTTAATTTGCCATGAAAAAGTGAACAAACGAATCGAAATTGTAATGAAATGGAATAAGATAAATAAATTGCATTAAATGCAAGTCAAATTTGGGACGGAGATGGGAATGGTTGTTTTCCCTTTTATTGTCATAAATAAAAATTGAAGTGGGTCCCAGTAGTCCGACGATGATCCCTCTACTTTGCTGCTTGAGTGGATAATTGGGTTTCATTTTTTTTGTTGTAACGTATGGTATGGTATCCTTTTGTGTTATTTTATTTTCGCCTTTTCTGTTCTCCGTGGAATAATCGAATTCGTACTCCGGCAGCTTAAAAACGGAGGCCCTTTCCATACAGAGTCCAAAGCAATGGGGTTATATGTAGGCATGGTAAATCACAGAATTAACTTAGTATTTTTACAAGATTTTATGTTTCTTTTCATAACACATTTAAACCTTTCTTTAAAAATAATGAATATGAAATATTTTTTACAAAAAAAACCAATTAAGAACATTTCTTTCTGTGCACTCTCCCAGCTCATTGCCTGAAGGATCTGAAGATATTTGTACCGGAGGCAGTCCGCACTGGAAACTCTGCAACATTGTCTTGTCAATATGATTTGGAACAGGTAAGCGACACTTCCTTGAGAAGCAGCCTCCACTAAAAGAGCAGGAAGAGCCGAACAGTAAGAGCTGCAGACGCTGGCAGGAGAAACAATACGGATATTGTCGTCGGCGGCATGCTTAATTATTATAATTGCTTGCACTTTGTTCTGCCGTCGTCGCCGTGTCTCCCGTCGCTCATTGTCGCTTCCTGTGGCGCTCTATCCAGCATCCACTCAGCCTTTTCATTAACGCATCTTCCTTCCGTGCTTTCGCAGGCGGCGCTCTACTCCGTGCGCTGGTACTTCGGCCAGGAGGAGTTCTACCGGTATATTCCCCGCGAGGCCAAGCCCACATTTGTCTTCGCCGTCTCCGGCATTAATGTTGATGTAAGTTAAATTAAGCATGGGATCGTCCATTTGCAAGTACTTGTTTCATTTTTTTGAACATTTTATTTTAAACTTTTATAGTCGCACTACCAACATTGCTATTCAGATATTTAAAATTCCTTCGATAGTAACCATGACCATGAATAAAAGGTGACAAAAACTTCTAGCCCAACTCGGAAAAAGCTCTACCATCTAAAAATAGTTTATAAATTTGGATATACATAGTTTGTACAATCAAATGATCGAGAAGTATGAGACTTTTTAAAAATTCTTCTCGAAATACAATCATTAAGTATTCTTCAGTCTATACAGTAGATCCTTTTCTTTTTTGTCTGGACTATTGTCAGCTTAATGGACAAATCACTGGAGCAGCAGCGCATGTGTTTTGCTCGGGCCGAGTTTGCTTTTCAACAAATGCAAAATGGGATAGCATTCAGAATGCCGGGCAAATATTTAAATGTGGACAATGCCGGGGCTCTAGCCTGGGGCAGTTGCACAGCATCTTGCCGCCTCTGCCCCCCCGGCATAGTTCTCTCCTTGTCACTCTTTTGGGGACGTATATACATGCATTTTATTCTATTGCTGTGCAATATTTGTTCACTTTTATTTACAATATTCGGTTGTGTTTTGCATTTACATACGAGTGTGTATGTGCGGGATGTGTGTGCATGAAATATTTCGCTCCACAATTTTGGAAAGTGCCACAAAACACACAAACCCACTACACTCCGATACAGCAGCTGACTGAAATATTGCGAATGGTGCAAAATAGTTTATGGCGCGGCTGCTGGGAAATAAAACAACCAAAAAATAAAAGCAAATAAACAAGTGCAACAACAATGAGAAAATTCAAAGAATGACCCCACCTAGAGGAGAAAAATACTTGGCAGTCGCTTTCCGATGCTACACTCATTAATAAAACTAACAGCCGCAAAGTAAGCTATAAATTATCAAAAAAAGTGGAGAAATACCTCGGACAGGAGTTTAAAATTTCCATGTCCTTGTTTGTAAACGGAAACCTTTAACCTTTGAAGATCCATTAAATATAGAATGCAATGAACCAGACATTTAAACTGTTTTATTTTCAAAGGTTAAATATGAACATCCACTTCATCATGGAAAATTAATTTTATATTTTAACTGACTATAGTGTATTATTTCTACATTGATTTAATAAAAATATTTTACTTTGTTCGGCGTGAAACCTAGTATATTATTTCTAGCATATGACATGTGTTGATTAAGTGCGTCTACCCAAATCTCCGGTCAGTGTAATGATATTCGATTTAAAAGGGACGGTGGGAGTGGAAAAAACGAATCGATTGTCGTATAATCATAAATAAATAAAATTGAATTCGCTATGAAAAATTTGTATGGACGAAATATAAATTGAAAACTCATTCGTCCGCACATAAAACTGCAAACTCATTTACAAACACTTCGGGCACATTTTTCAAATGCGCCAAAAAGGGGAACGTTAAATAATCATAAATAATAGCATCAAGCGGGGGCGAATGATGGAGTAATGTTTGTTTTATGTAAGCGAAACAAAGCAGTCGAGAGGGGGGAAGGCGGATCCTTCATAGAAATAATTTTCCCAGCTTCCGTTTCCTGTGTCCTTGCTTTGTCTACCCCCTTTCTCCTGGTCCTATATCTATTGGTCCTTTTGCCAGCTTCGTTCATCGATAATGGCATACTGGCCACATCAATCAGCGGGGACTGCCACTGCCTCTGCCTCTGCCTCCGTGGGACTTGATTAATTTGCTTTGATTGTGTCTTTAATTTGCACTCCCATGCAGTGACCGAACAAAAGAAAAAGAATAAGCCAATAAAACGAAATAAAATACAAATAAAATCGAGCAAAATCGAGGCAGTCCGGCTCGAATGTTAATTTGCCACTAATTAGCATTCAAAGGCATTTTTGCACTAATTAAATATTTCGATTGCAGTCCCAGTGGCAGTCCTTCGAAAGGCGGCGGTGGGGTGGTCTTTCGTGGTGGGCGTGGCTGTGTGGGTAGTGGCGTCAAGCTATGCGTGTTAATTATTTCCCGTCTTTTGTGCGATTCTCTTTCTGATTTTATTTGGCCTTACATCGCCAGCGAATTGGAAACTATTCAAAAAACAACCAATGGCATTGAGGTTAATGTGGAAATTTTTGTAGCCTACTTATCGCACCACCAGCAGCACAGGGAGCACAGGGAGCAGAGGCAGGCATCAGAATCAGCATCAGTGGAAACTCATTTTAATTTGAGCAAATTTCCACTCCACTCCTGAGCAAACTGCTTTAGATGCAATCAGCTGTGAACCGCAAGAGGTGAAAAGTGTAAGAAAAAAGAACTGGAAGAATAAGCTGATGGGGGGTCAAGGGGCCAAGCATTACTGCACAGAAAGAAATAATCTTCTTAATGCTAATTATAGTTTTGTATTAGAAAGTTATTGTCTAGTTAGGCTGATATTCTTATTTAAGAACCTATATACTAAATCGTATGCTAAACTCTTTAGGAAATCCCCTATCCATCCAATAATTTCCTGTATGTTATCCTGTACGGACTTTTGGTTATGGTCGATTGCATAATTCAAATGGCTTAACCAGGGTGCGCTGTGCAATTAAGTTTGAAGGTTGGCCATAGTTTCAGCCCCACAGGCATGTTAAAAGGTGCCTTTTCAAAAGTGCAAATGTGCAAAACTAAAAAGCTAAAAACAGCAAAAAAAAAAAAAGTAGGAGCATAAAACTAGGGAAAAAATGCTTTACGCCCCAAGGCAGAAACAAATCGAAATGAGGCGCCATCAGCCAGCCAGCAGCTGTGTTTTCCAACTTAAATTGATAGTTGCCCGGCACTAACGAAGGCAAACGTCAAAGGCCAGGCCGCAAATGGAAATGGAATTTTTAAGTTATGCCAAGGCAACCGGGCCAAATGCACGAAAAGAGATGGCTACACCCTGAGAAGGAGATAGACATGGATACACATACTAAATGTATGCGAAGACCTCTTCGAAATTGTGGCAAGTGCCTTAATTGAGATTAAAACATTATAACTTGACTTGTTTTACTTTTGCTAAATCATTTCAAACAGCTAAACACGCTTAATGAGAAAAGTTCCGCCCGTGCCAAGTTGTCGGCCATTATGCATATGCACATGTGTGTTTGAAGGCAGTGGTGTGGCAGTGGGGTGGGGTCATGTAACGGCAGGTGGTGGGTGGCAGGTGGGCGTGCCGCATAAAGCATCGAGCACTTGAAAGGCAGCTGCAGCGGGTGCTTCTTCGTCTTCTTCAGCTGCTGCTGACATGCCATGCACTTGTGGGCGCTTGCCGTTGGGGGCGTGGCCGACCAAAGTGCACTCGTGTCGTCCACTTGAGCGTTATTGGAATGTAAATGTATGCATATTAAGGTGGTAGGCGATGGGCGGTGGCGGCTGGTAGGCGAGTCGCGTCGCCCAAACTTCAAAAGTCATTCAGCATGGCAAAGCATCAGTCACGCCCCCTCACCTGGTCGTCTAACACATGTCAATGGGAACAACAGCGAAAAAATAAACGGGTAAACATAATCGCACATGAAACGAAAAGGGGTAAATAAACAGGAAAACCATCATGTTAAATGTAATTAAATTTTTAATTTAGAGACAGCGCTCGCTTCGCTGGCAATCTTCAATTAAAAACACAATTACCAGGCCCACCCGTTGCGCTGGTTCGGGGTCTGGGGGTCACGCCATCAGATCAGGGGCTAACGGGAGGGCGGCTGGAATGCTGAGCAGGACAGGAATAGGATATGCCAAGTGGCCCAAAGTTTTGCGGCTTATTCATTGTCCGCTACAACAATAAAAAATCGCCAGCTAGCAGCCAGCCAAAAGGCCTGAGCCTCTCCCTCCTCCTTCCATCGGCTTTCCCAGTTTTTCACTCAGTCCGGGGTGCTTCCCAAAAATTTTCGCCCCGAAAAGTTTTTGCACACTGTCAACACGGAAGGAATTATTCCGCATTAAGTTTGCGGTAATGGCAGCGTCAGTTTTACTCTCACACACACTCACACCGAGTATGGAGTGGAGTGTACTTTGGCTTTCGCTGGGAATGTCCTTGCTGCTGCCCCGTTTGCTTTTAACATTGTTAATAACCCGACACGCCTCGCATTTATGCACAGCAATGTGCGCTTAAAATTAATGCACTTACAACTGGGAAATTCCAGAAGCTGGCGAAAAGGAGTTTCCCTACAGCCAGGGCGACAGAAGTGACCAAAAAGTTTGTCTGTCCCCTGTCCATGGCCTGGATCCTGGATCCTGACCCCTGGTTTCAATGTGCTCCTGCCGGTTTACCAGGAGTTCTTTAGCCAGTTGTTAATTAGATGCGCCAGACAGGACAGATAAAATAAGGTACACCAAAAAAAAGCATACATATTACATTAATTTTTTTTAGAGATTAATTTTTTGTCGCCTTACACAGGTCCTTAAAATGTAACAACCAGTTGAAACTACTAAAGATTCAATTTTCAAAAGCATTTAAGACCTTGAGTTCTTCTTTATATTGTATAAATAATTTTTAGTTAAAAAAAATAAGAAAAATACAGTATATATTTCTCTGTCTTTTGAACTTAATCGAACAAGGCCTTTTTGAAGAGTCAACTTCAATTTCCATTAGCCACTTAAGCCACTCACATGCAGGCGATTTGGGCCAACTCCCCAGCACTTTTTCCCCTGCCGTTTTCCATATTATATAGTATACCCCATTGCCTGTTGTTTTTTACGTCGTGGTGGCGGCCTTGCCTAGAAATTGTTGTGTGACAAATGGCAACAAATAAACATAATAAATAAAAATGCGAAATGCATTCGTGAAGTGCCCAGAAGCTCCAACCCATCCAGCAGTAGTCGCAGTGGCAATCGGAATCGCAGGGTGTAACTAGCTGAGTCTGTCCGGCGTCCGAGGGCCGCCAAATGGCATTGGGCGGGAGGGAGATCCTGGCTTGCGGATGGGAATCCGGGTAGTCGAGGGTGTTGGGGCCTGAGTAGGGGTATTCCATTCACATTGGCGTGCTGTTGTCTGCCTGCGCCAACAATGAGCACAATAAAAAGCCATGCATTTTCCAAACACCAAAAATTGTTCATAGCTCTGCCAGTAGCAATAGCAATAGCAACAACAACAATAACAAACACAACACAAGCAACATGCAACAACAACAGAAACGAGGAAGAAGAAGAATAACAACCGCACCGGAAACATCTCATTCACTAAATTTGTGGTCGGTTTTTGCCAAGCGTTAGGCAGTCGAAGTTGTGAAATGCCAACGGCAACTGAAAGTGGGATGCGGAAAGTGGGCGTGGAAAAGGTCCTGAATGGGAATGGGGAATTGGTTGGGTTACCACCAGAGAAGAAGGGAAGAGAAGGGGGGTGTGGGTGGCTGGCAGGATAGCGGGATTGCTGGGCTGGCAGGCGGCACCGCCGTTAGTTACAACAATGCTCGAGGCAACGGAAATTCGGCATGACATAATACGGGCACATGTGAGTGTGTGTGCCGGCGGAATAGAAGTGTGCTGCTGGTGTGGTGCAGTGGTGCTGTGGCCGCGACTTGAGTTGATACAGCAATAATTCATAAAGTGTTGCATGCAAACGAGGCTGCAGCTGAGGCGAGCACATACAGTTACTCCATGAGTGCTGCCAGAGCTGCCCGGGTGTGTGTGTGTGCAGTGAGTGTGCCGCATGCGACAGCGTTGGAAAAATTAAAATTGCTGCACAACAAACAGCGGAAACTCAGCGAGGAGCCAACAACAAGGGCAACAACCATGGCCAGAATGCCAAAGAGAGCTACAAAAGTGCGCAGTAGAGCCGGAGCCAGTGTGGAAGGAAGCCGGGAAAAGTGGAGAAAGTGAGGCAACAACGGATTGCGACCAGGGGGGATGGGGGTGGATGCAATGAAATTCATTGTATTCTTACAACTCGACGACTCTGGCAGCTCTGCTCAGCCGGGCCGAGAGCTTTTTGCAGTAAAGTTATTATTTCATAAAGCCAGAATTATTGAAACAATACTTTACTCTCACACATGGGTGGAAGGGGCGGATGACGGCTGTGGGAAAATGCGGAAAAACCCACATCCACGTGTGTCTGTGCCTGCGACTGCTACTCCATGGGATTGTATGTGCGTTTGGCATGCAGAATTACGCTTTAGTGGCGTAATTTTTTTATGCCAGAAAGTTGCAGCTGCGGCTGCTAAAGCAATATAAAATATAAATAGAAATTAAAAGCCAACAAATAAAAATAAATAAAAACCGGAAAACAGAGAGACGGGCCGGGCCGTACCGAGTCAGGAAAAAAACTTTCCACGACAAACGCAACTTGAGCTGAGTTTTCCCTGCCTCTTTCAACTACAACTGCGAGTGTTGTTGCTTTTGACTTTGCCGGCTGCCCCGGAGGAGTGGTTACAAAATGGCTACAGTTTCACATACGAGCATCCTAAAGGATGTGAGCCAGCGAGGGAGGGTGCGTGTGTGCGAGGGTCCTCTTCTTTTTATTTGTATCTGTGCAAGTCGGCTGGGCATATCATTCCTCAAAATGGCAGACATTTGCGTTTGTTTGGCGCGCTTCCTGGCGCTGCCACTTCCGCTTCCGCCAGAAAAAGCCACAGAGTACCAACCAACAAATAAAGTCACATGCAATTAAATAAATATGACAGTCACAGCCGCCCACCCAGAACCCGAACCAGAAACAGGACCACAAGGACCAACAAGAAACAGTCCGCAGCGTAGCCGGCCCCGGCCACATGAAGCATTTGAATAAATAAAGCACCCGGTCCCAACTTTTCCGTATATGTTTGATTACATAATTAGTGTCATTTAATTAGATGGGGTTGAAATACCCCCAGGCGCATTGTTGGAGGGGGAAAGGTCATCCGGCTTATTTGCACACACATTTTTGCTACAAAACAGTTTTCAATACTTTAAGTAAATATTACTTGAATATAGTGAGGAATTTAAAGACTCTGGGCTTCCATGGCTTGAATATTTATCAAAAAACTAATGCGATAGCAGCAGCCAGCTTCACGCAGTTGACTCCATAAGTTGGCAGGTCTCATAACTCATGTAAAACAACACAAAATCATAATGTATCTCTGGGCAGTTGCACATTATTCATGGCTGCCACCGCACCCTCTCATGCATATAGAGAACCTTATCAATACGTTTCGCATTTGTTTTCATTTTACGATTGCGTAACGAGATCAGCGTCGACAAATCCGAAAGCCACTAAAACCACAGCTCGCCTGGGGCCATTGCGTTGGATTTGGATGGGGGTGGATGTTGCCGGGTTGCTGGGCTGCTGCCAGTGGCCAATATGCCAATTTGCAACCGCGAGCGGATGGGGGTGAGCCACCCTGGAATGGAATGGCTGGGGTTAGGGTCCAAGAGCATGGCCGGTGCCGTAGGTGGCCGGTGGCCCTTATCGACGGCGTTATCTGCGAGTGAACTGGCAGAACTGGCTGAAAAGAAAACAACAAACTAAATAGTAGGAAAGCGAAAAGCCAGGCCATGCCAAGCAATGCGCCAAAGTGTTGAAACAATCGTAAAAAGCTGTTGTTCGCCGCGGGGCACCAGGAAAGGGTTACGGAATGAATGGTAATGGCTGGGTGGTTGCAGCTATATATGCCAATACTAACAACAACAACAACAAAAGCAGAAGCAGCAGTAGCAGTAGCAACAGCAGCAACAGGGATTAGTAGAGATGCAAATGAACAAAGCGATGGCAACGTTCGCTCTGGCTTTGGTGGCATATGCAAAACTTGCATCCCATGGCTGATGTTGTTGCTGTTGCAGCCTGAACTTAAATACAAAAGGCCAGGCCTGCGATAAAAGGACCGCCACGCACTCACACAAACATACCCATTCACACATCGGGTAACACAGATACACACCCACACACATAGACGGTAATCGCGAATGGTTCGCTGCTGAAGTGGATTTTGAGTAGGATATTGCACAACTGTTTGCCAAGTGGCAAGCGCTTGCTGGCAATTAACAGAATATGCTAAACTGCGACATCGGAGTGGAGGATTCCCGGCTTGAATCGAATCGAATGTGGTATGCCCTCGGCAATAGCGTTTTTAGGATCGGCCTCCGAACAGTGGGACATACCCCTAATGAACGGAGTCTGGTTTCTGGTACTTAGCCATGGTCTGTTGATTACCAACAAATGCGTTGCCTGCGCTTTTCATGCCCGTCGTGCTTTTGCAGATTTTTGGAGGGTGGGGATAGCCACATCGTCCCATCCAGAAATGAAATGAAAGATGCAGTGAAATTCGTTTCGGGTATTGACATTTTCCCTGCGATTTTTTGTAGAAAAGGTACCTTAAATTAAATGGCTTAAAGGGCTTTTTATTTTATATTATGTTCTGTTACCATACATACGAAACCTAGCTTTTTTTATATCCTTTTCATTTTTGTCCTTTTCAGCTCAGCAAATCGGATGCCACATCCGTTACCCTGAAGAGTGTCACCCGGGAGCTGAGCGGCATGTATCAGTGCGAGGTTTCCGAGGATGCCCCGCTTTTCCACACGGAGATTCGCTCGGCTCACATGCAGGTGATTGAGCTGCCCAAAGATGAACCGGTGATGCAAGTGGACAAGAAGGAGATTGGCGTGAATGACAACCTAAAAGCGGTGTGCACGGTGGGTCCATCATATCCACCTGCCAATATTACCTGGCTAATCAACGGACGAAAGGTGAGTCAACTTTTTTTTTAAGAATATCGGACTGTATGTTATAATGGCATATACCTTATACCTATATACCTAACTCTTAACAAAACGTTCAAAAATTAATGAAAATATTCTCCTATCGTTTTGAGAGTAAAAGAATTAAAGGAATCCATTTTAATATTTTACAGATTTACAAGACGCCGCTGCAACGCATTTCACATGACACCTACGAAGGCTCCACCACGTACTCCTCGTTGGATCTCTTGCCGCACAGCCAGGCCCTGCAAGTCTTTTTCCAGGCGCTGCCCAAGTACCAGCACAATATAGTGCTCCAGTGTGATGTCTCCATCATGCAGTTATTGTACAAGAGCGTCCATCAGCCCATTAGACTGAGCAACGCGCCGCCGACGACTATCTCGCCGAATCTTCTGGGCCTGGAGGGGTCGAAGCGATATGCCAACGGCGATCCGGACAATTCGGCGCTGACCGGCGCCTCGCAGCGTTGCTGCATCTGCTGCGGAGCTCTGGGCGCCTTTTCCTTGGCGCTTTTCACGCTGGCGGTGGCCCAGCTGTGACCGCAGCAGGCCCCGTAAGCAGTTCTTGGAGGCCGACGCAGTAGTCGCACTGACAATGGAGAAACAAACCGCAGGAGCAATGCGCCAGCATAATTGAAAAATAACAGGCACCTGGCCGTGGAAAAATATGAACCAGCCGGCATGAGAGGCATATTTGATTGCGGAATAAAAAAACAAATGCAAGAATCAAAAATAAAAAAAAAAATGATGGGAGGTGGGAGATTTGAAAAGGAAAATTGTTGATGGCGGCGACCCTGCAGTGTCAACGCCTAGCATTTTATAGTTTTTATTATTTGCATGGTTTGCCAAACAAAACAAGCAACTGGGTCGCAGTCCAAATGTTCAAACAGAAGATTGTTTTCAATGCGTTAATTAATTTGCCAAGGCTACATACAAAATTCGGATAATAAAAAATACATTTATATATAAGTCAGCCAGAGGACACTGCACTTTTAAATATGATCGGGCAAAGTTCATGGGAAGGTTAAAATAATAAAAGTAAAAAAGAGATAGTATAATTTGAATACGTAACAAGCATAATTGCATGTTGTGGATTGGGGCGTGATGTTGAATTCTTCATATAAAAAACAGAAAAAAAAATGAATATAGAAACCATAAACTTAAATAAATTAACACACGCACTTGCAAACAAACCTTGCAAACCTAATTGCATAAATAAAAACAAAAACAATTAATAAGCATAAGTGACACACATTTAATACTAAGTACACCCTACCCTCCAACTACCGCAGCCTAGACACATAAGTTATGTAAATAATTACTGTAAAGAATCCAAAATAAAAAAAAAATATTAATAAATACAATTAAAGTCCACACAAAGGCAGCAGCAGGCAAACATTAATTAAAGCATAGAAAACAAACGAGAGACGAGGAGAAAAAGTTAAATGCAAACTAATTAAGTCCTTATGAAAAATCAATGAAATCAAAAAAGTCAGAGTGGATATCGGCCAAATTTAGTTAAATTAGATTTGTTTTAATTTCGATTGTGGCTTATTTGCGGTACAACATTGTCCATATTCTGTTAGAATTATAATTTCCGTTGAACGGTTATTTGTTAGCAGCGTAAGATTGTATTTGTTTTAGACTAAATTTATATAAATAAATGCAGAGTATATATTTATCTAATAATAACAGTCAGATCGAGAGAATTTAGTGAGTGTATGTTAGTTGGATGATGTTAAGAGTTATGCTGCCGAGCTAAAACTGCCGAGATAGCCCGTACTCCCTCGCCCAAGGAGGAGAACTATTTTTAGATGTTCACGAGATACTCAACTCGACATGGAAGTCCTGGCTGGGCTCTGCAGGCAAGCATTTCTCAAATAAGAAACGAAAATTTAAGAAATTTTCCAAATCAATGTAAACCATAAAACAAAATACTGTAAATCACAACTTGAGAAGTAAAACCAAATTATTTTACAGAGCTGTGGCAGGTCGAAATAAACTTAAAACCAAACTAAACAAAACTAAAAGAAACTCGTAATAAAATGTAAAATCAAACGTAAATACAGGAAGACACTAAAGTAAAACAAAGAAATAAGATCCGAGCAAATGAGTCGTAAAAAAACAAAAAACAAATTATATATTAAATATGCATAATTATGGATAATTTAATGGGAGTTAAGCAAAGCCAAAAAGGTCAAACGAAATCAAACCACACAAAAACAACAAAGTGAACGCCAGAAATGTGCGTGGAATTTAGCTCAAAATTAAATGCGATAATGGCAAGAATTATATGACGAAATAAATAAATAATACAAAATGTACAAAGCTGGTTTCATTTATCCCAAAAATCTGCTTCATAATTTCTGTTAAATTTTTTGATAGATTGAAACGCTTGACGCTTAGATAATTATGGCAATGATCCCTTATTAACACACACACGGAACACAAAAGGTCGGTATTGTCAAAGTTGGTCCTTGTACTCGTTCTCGTGTCGCCAGCTACAAGCCCCCAACAGCTGCACTTACATACATGCAACACCAGCTGAAGTTGGGGCTGAAACTGATGCTGATACCGCTGCTGACACAGCCGGCGAGTGCCGAACACACAACAAGAGAACCAAGACCGGGACCTGGACTAAAGTCGGGGATCATGGACCACGGACCACCGACAGGGGACCTGTCCCCAAGCCCCGAACACCGAACACCGTACACCGACTGCCGAGCATCGCAAGCGTCTCATGTTTTGTAAATTAAGCAAACAAATTAAGTGCACTTGGCGCCCAGCTCGCACACGCTTTTGCTGTTGGGTCCCTTGTAAACACATTGTGATTGTAACAAAAGCGTATATATCAAAAGACCTGCACTGTCATAAGGTATTGGGAGAGGCCAGGCAAAGTACGTAATCATATTTTCTACGGACTTAACCTAACTTAATAGATGTATTCCACCTAGTACCTTTCCTAAGTTATATGGTGCACTTTAACAAATGACATAATTTGATAGGATCTTAAAGCTGAATGTAATTAAATGGTTGAATCTTTTCTTACCGTGTACGGTGCACGGCTCCCTTTGGCTTCGCCCTTGAGCTGAACTGCCACTCTCAAGGACATGGGGCTCCCCTAAGCGAACCGAATCCGCACACCTTGCTGCGCACGTTAGTTTGTCTTAATTAGTTGCTGCAACAGCGGGAGCTCCGGCACCGCCTCCCACACCCTATTCCGTGGCAAGGAGCAAAGGCCACAAAATGGCAAAGCCACCAACTGACTGCATCCGCTGCACCGTGAGCACCAGCGAAAACAATAAGGCCGCAACCCGCTGGTGCAGGTAACCGTGCCAGTATTATTTACAAGCCATTGGCTGCAGCCAGAACCCCACCACAATTTCAACTTTACCGCTGGTCCGCCCCCAGATCCGGACGCCTACCCACGGGACCATAATTGTGCAGTCATCGTGCTGTTTAAAGTTTTACACGTAACCCTATTGCCAAAGAGCTGACAGCACACACGGCGTATGCGTAACGCAATATGAGTAGGCAAAACTGGCATACGAACGAACGTGATGGCAAAAACTCAAGACGCGAACGGTTCTTCAATCCACTCGAATGCTGCTGACACAGCTACTAAGTAAACACGTGGCTTATTCTGCTGAGTAAATATACTATAATTACACTTGAAAACAAAGCAGAAAAACTATTTCCACAAAAAAAGGAACAAAGAGTAAGGAGTTAGTTATGCAGGTGTTTAGGGTCACAGGCATTTAAACTGAAAAGTCTCTACTTTAATAGTTAATTGATTTAACTTTAAAGAGGAGAAAATGGAAATGTAGAATTTTAGTCAGCGGAACTATTTTCTAAAAGCCTAATCGCCATTTCAACAATAATTTACCTTTCTCATCCATCTGAATTTTGGTGAAATGTGCTCCCAGTTTAAATAAATGATTCTAATCCTAGTCGCACTAAGCAAAAGCAAAACTAATGGAAATGCGTCACTTTAATTAAATGCGTATCGGACTACAAATAATGCAAATGGGATACACCAGCAAGCCCCTTCCCCAAAAACATCGACAAAATGAGTTGCATATTTTGAAGCATGATCTCCCGGCTCCGGAGTCCGGACTCCGGCCGCCGGACGCCGGGACAATGTTTCACAGCCTCCGCTTTGGGGGCGTGGCAGCGCCGAATGATTTGGTTTATGGTCTTTGCATGCATTTAACAACACAAAAACGTCGGCAGCAAACACAGTGGCCATTGGTTGAACGGCCGGCTGACTGGCTGAATGGGTGAATGGCGGGCTGGCTGCCTTGATGGCAGGGCGAACCCAAAAACATTGTTAAAATACAGCAACATTTTTGGATTTATAGCGCGCTAATCGCGGCCAAACGGTAACTGGGCGGCAGCTGGGAGCGGGAGTTGGGGCGGTCCTGTCCGCCTGGCATTCGGAATTGTAATGGAAATTGAAATGCAAATGCACGGCATGACATTTACGAGTGCTCCGCCAGCAACATCAGACAAGGGCCAGGACAGGACAGAACAGGGCCTGCCAAAAACTCAACAATAAAATGTTGCAACTAAAATGGGCAAGACCCAAATCGACGTGCACTTGGCAGCGTTGTGTTTTCATTTCGCAAATGCAAAACAAGACGTTCCCGGCCACGCCCTCAGATTGGGACAGCCTATAGATTTATGGCCGCGCAATTAGCGAAAGAAACAATATTTTCCATTTCTTTGCCAAGAAGAAAATATTCATGGCGTAGATAGTCCTGTTTCAGACGGCGCTGAAACGTTTTACGGCTTCAACCGAAACTAAAACATCAACATCAGCAGGCGAACACCCCAAAAACTGATGATGAGCATCTTTTATGACAACCATCCGACGCCTTGGACATGGAGCTGACGGGAACGTGATGAATGCAGCTCTCTGAGGCGACATTGCATCATAAATTCAGCAAGTGACGTTTAGCAGGCACCCGGGGATGGTTGAAATTCAGAGCCAGAAGGTGATGTTGCCATAATGCCGAAGCTACGTGCATTCCATTTGGCTTTGATTTGAAGCCATTGATCAAATGGAAAGCTTAAAGACCGAACCCAGGGGCCATAAATATCCTATTTCAGCTGGGAAAAGTCACACAACTGGCAAATAAACGACTATTATTGAACAAGGTTTTAGACCAAAACAACTCCAAAGGTAAAGTTCGAAGTCAAGGATAAGCATTACCAATCGTTTGAGCAAATTGACTTTGCTTGTTTTGTCAGCCGTTGTTTGGCTTCGAAATTTGTTAATTTTGCGTTGAATTAAGATAAAATCTGCTTACACTGGCTTATGAAACCAAACATCCACTCCAACCCATCAAGCCTCATACCCAAACCCAAACCCAGCCCCTACCCCAACACATTGTACATCCCAGGCCGTTCAAACCAACCCTTTTATCTGCAAAACTCTTTTGTTGCTGCCGGGAGCACCCCCCTGATTGTTTTCAGATTCCGAGAACAACAAGACACGCTCAGAGCCAGGCCAAGAAGCATCGTTCCCGGCTACAGTTTATTATTTTTGCTCATCAGCGGAGCCTTCTCCAACTTCCCCAGCGACTCCCTAGTAGGCACTTTTTCGGAAGTGGGGAAGCCTTTTTACAGAAACAATTTGTAGCGCAGAGATTAAAACTTTTAATTTGCTTTTAATTAATTAAGTTGAAAATCACAGCTGAAAGTCACTGGATTCCATACTCAGCTCTCGTTTACACGCCTCACTTTGTTGAAAGTGTTTTGCCGGCGCCAACCCATCGTCGCCGGTGATTTTCGGAAATGAAAGTTGAATTTTTATAGGTGTTTAACTTTCTGAGCAAATTCGTTCACCTGACATTTAGTTTGCCATCATTGAAGTTGGCCAACTTGAAGTGTGTTTTGTGTTTCTACCTTTTTCCCCTCTTCCCACCCATCGTACAATTATTCGGTTACCTGTGCGCCTACCTACCTGGCTTAAAACATTCATCAAAGTAAAAGTGGAAAAGTTCTCTCTTTGCCAGAGTGGCTAAATGTATTCCATTTGCATGGTAGCATATCTTTCGGTGGTTTTCTATCAAAAACAGAAACTGGTTAGGAGACCAAATACTAGCTAAATTAGAGTAAATGAAAAAATAGAACAAAAAATAGTTTGGTTTCGATTTTCATTTGGTAACTGAAAACTTTATTCGGTATTGGTTGCGTTCAACCGTTTATTTAGGAGTTAGGAGCCATTTTAGTAACTTTAATAAAGCCTACCAAAGGTGAAAATATGCCCAATAAAAATACTATTTTTCAATTAGGAAGAACTATAATTATAATTAAAAAACTTGTTCCATGTTTGAATTCTTTCAATATTTTGCTACTAAGAATTTTCAACAAAGAAATACA